TACAGTTAAATACGCTCAATCTAATAAGTAAGTTAGTCTAATGTTACAAATGAAAAATATGATGACCGTGGAAATAGAAATCCACTCATTGGGTGTTCCCAGTGCTCGTCCGTTCCGAAAAAGAAAGCATACGAAAACAATGAGGACCGAGGTGTGATTGGCAAAGAAGAACCTGAATGATCATCCGGGCCAAAGCGGAAGATGAGGAAAATCTCACTGTCATGAGGTTGCATAGTTAAGATGTTGTTCACGGCTTACTGAAGGCACCGCATTATGCATCAGGATTGCGGCTTAAGTTATTAGTCTCCCAAAGTTTCCAGGGTCCTGGGAGTAAAAGCATATGCTAAAATATTTGTCCCGAACTTGCGCAATTCTCACCTCGAATGCGCGATAATAAATAATCACTGCATTTGCGCTAACCCTGTAAACAACGGAAAGAAGCATTTCACATTTCTGCACAAAATAAGTAGGATGTGAATGAATATGTGAACAAACAAATGCGTTATTTAATGCAGATGTGTTTGGAATTTAGCAGCGACAACCATGGGGAGTTAAGAGAAGGAGGGAAGTGATGCAATGCCCTGTTGGTCTGATAGAGTTCGAGCTGAAATTGGAAATGTGGAGGGCGAGATAACGCCAGCAACTACACCACGTAGAGTCCTATGGCTTCCGTCACGCCATCCAGGTTGTGCTACGTCGGGCCGGGTTAGTACAACCGTTGGTGACGGATTCGGAACGCTCGGGGTTGCTGGCCCACTTTCACACATCCCATGCCCATACACTTCACTTCATTTCACTTACCTCCTCTGCCCTCTTTTCGCCTCTTTTCTGTCATGTAGTATTCACTTTCAAATACTTCTTGGCGACTACCTCTAATTTCACTTGCAATCTTCAAACTTCCTGCTTTACCTACACATTTATTCTGTCACTACGTTTAGACCAAATTCTATTTTCTCTCTATTTTAGGGCCCTCTTTTAAGAACTGTGTTTTACTTTTACTGGCACAGGGACAGCCAATTATTTACGCATGAATTTGTGAGGCTGACTTTTGCATCTCTGTACATGCCTTCACGAATAGCCATTAGTTCAATGTGAGTGCTGTGCACTGACCCAGCAGTGCCTTAAGGGAAAAAGGGATCTCATCATAAGGATTTTCATGATATCCTACTTCTTCTAATGCACTTGGCACTGCAGACATGGAGTGAAATTTGTCCTTGCCAAATGTGTCAAATTTCTAGGCACAAGCCTGATTGACTTTACACATACGGTGTACTAGGCACCAAATTTCCTTCACATAGTATTAATTCACTTCAATGATGTAATGAAGGAAGA